GACAGACCACTTTTGATAATATCTACTGCAAATTGCACAAATGAAAATAACGATCATCACGTGGTTACATGACCTTAAAAATACGTATTACCTTTCGAACTTAAAAAGTAATATATATGATTTCGCACTAAGGTATCTGAGCTTTTCCGATAGCATAGTCTGAGGTGTTGGTAATCGACAGTTATACCCACCAACAAAATTATGGTAAGTCACTTTTAGATATTTATTTTCCAAAGATATGTATTATTAGACATAATTACAAACATTAAGGAATATTTCGCGTGCGTCGTAAATATTGCTAGTACCCTTGCTACCCATGATATGGATAAAGTGAAGGCAAAAAGGCTGAGGAGTTCATTATTTATCTTCACAAAACAATAAACAAAATTAAATTTGCAACACTCGACAATATACGCATTTTATTTGCACAATTTTATTACCAAATTTTTTAGTGACCAAATTTTGTTAGGATAAAAATATTAAAAAGAAAAAAAAAAACCTTTTATCCCAAAAACTCTTCAAAAGAAGTGCATAGAACCGTTTATTTATAGATTTAGGTTAACAAGAACACCTCTTGCTAAATTCAAAAATATTGCTATTTTTAGCCAACATTGGCAAATTGAAGGAGATTATTTAAACAATAAATTTTAAATCTAGAAATAACCAGTAATTTCATATCAGAAGTGACTCTTCACCTTATGATATAACTTTTTTCTCGAATTAAGTTCACGATAAATGAGATTTAAACGGAAACACAAGATAAACAATATATTTGAACTAACTTACATAATAACTGTTTGCATTTTAACGAACATTCAGAATTAGATAAATTAATGCTGAACGCAGTTTACTCGAGTGTGATGGAAATTTTTGAATTTGACAGAAACAAAAGTAAATAACCACAACTTACTGAAGAAAAAAGAAAAGAAAATCACGGTGAAAAAAGACAAATCAACTTCTCCACATTATATTTTGGATTTTGTGGGAACCTAACGTAAATATTTTGAAAACAATTTTTCGACTTTCGGTTTCAGCTTGAAAATGAACATTCACAGACATAATTATTAAAATTGCTAGAAAACGTTTAAACATTTAAAATTTAAGTGTTAGAATGCTAAGAACAAACCTCAGTTTTTTTTTATGTTGTGAGGGTCATGGAAAGTTATATTTTACACAAGCACTAGTGGTACTCATTCCTTTCGTTTATACATAAGTATATATTTCCTGATATTAAACGATATTTAATTATTTTGTGCTACAGTGTACAATTTTGAAAACTTATTTGTAAATATTTGGGTTTTTAAAAATTTTGATTCCCGATTCTTTGAAAATAATAAAAGTTATAATTTAAAAATAAATCTGGGTACCTGATTTTCAGTGAAGGTCATTTTTATCATTATTAAAAATATAATTAAAAACTAGTTGTCCAAGTTAAGCAATTTTCCAAAAAATACGTCCTACCTACCTTATTTTTTGCACTTATTTCAAGAATCCAAATTAACCATTAGATTTTATAGAAGAAATCACCATTAGTCACTTTCTAAATTATGGGTGTAAATTTTGGTTAATAAAAATAAAAAAAACATCATCGGAATTGTACCAGAGCCTCTCTATACCGTAATTATTGAACCAAGAAGTAACTTTTACTTGCAACAAAGATGTAGTAAATTTGAGAGCAACGTAATTACGGGTTCTATTCGTGAAAGCCATCCAATTTGTACCAATAAAGTTTAACTGAAAACTGGTAGTAACAAATAGCAACATAATAACCACCTGCTTTAATTCTAGAAGCAAAAAGTAGAGGACAACAAACCTAAACAATGTTAATTGATTAGTGCATTCGTGGAAATCGCGTTCGTCTTCAATAAAATTTATGTAGTTTATCAATGAGATTATTTAAAAATAAAGGGGAGTCACTTTGAACCGGTATAAATGCAAATCATGGTTCATGCTGCAAACAAAAACAAAAATTTGTTAACCACTGATTTGCAATACAAGAATCGCGTATTATTTACCTCGAATGTTTTTATGTTGCGAAAGAACTGACAGTAATTTAATCATTATTCTAATGGAGTTTCTCTTAACTGGTTATATCCAGTTCTACCGCCAAGAATTATGACCTGTTGCCCGATTTATCCAAACACATGTCACGTTACGTGCGTTCGCATCTTATAGAAGCTGGTCCGGAAATAGATGGATAGAACGACTTTTTGAACATTAGCTTGACCCAATTTGTGATAATTTAGTGTTTTGCTCTACTAGGATTCAGGATATCACGTGTAAATTCAGTAATCATTTTTGGTAGATAAATTATAATCCACGCAATTGAGAGTAGGTAGTGACCGTGATTAAACTTCATTTGATTTTTTCTGAAAAAACGAAAGTTGTATTTGTTATGCTTCATAAACTAAGGAAGTTTAGACTATCTTTACAGATTTTTGAAACGTGGTTATAGTGTGCAAAGTTTTGAAGACAAATAAGAGTAAAAGTAAAAGTAAAAGGCGATAAAACCAGGAAAGAAAATTAAACAGAGGATAAATAGCCATGAGAACGTATAGAGATGTTAAATTTATTAAAAATAACTTGAAAAATATAAAGAAGAAAGAAAGACAATCAAACCAAGAGAACAAGAAACTAAAAAGGAATCATGTATAACATTTGGACAGAAAGTGAACCAAATTGTTGATTTTTTTTTATGCAACACTAAAGCTATTAAATAAAACAAGTTAAATCTAGAGGATACAGACAGAAAAATAATCACCGAAGAAAAAAAAATACTGAAACGATGGTGAGAATATTTTGAAAGTAAGAACATAATGAGAGGAAGGAATAAAAGAGCAACATACAAGTAACAACATATAGAAGATTCAAGAACTGGAACTAATAAGAGAAGATGACATGATGGAAGGCAGACAAAAAATAAAATAGGTTAAGGTACCAGGAAGAGAAAATATATGTAATCCCAGGGATAGTAAGGTTTGTGGGAGAGACAGAGATAAAAGAATTAACTCAACTAATAAGTATTTACCTTTGAAAATTAAAAAGAAAAGTTTGGAACTCGAGAATAATGTTGCCAATATCTAAAGATGGTGACAAAAGAGTCTGCTCCATTAGGTATAGTTATCCCAAGAAAACCTACGGCAAATAAAATAGAGAAGGGAGTTTTCTTTCACTTAAGAACATATTACACATGGTAATTTCTCGTAGAAAAACAAAGATTTTATAGTTAAGCTCCGCCCCTCGGCTTACGACGAATAAAAACAAATCATCAAAATTGAAATAGGGCAGGTGGGCGGGGCTTATATTTTGTCCTTTGTTTCTTAATATACGTAGCTATCTTTTCTCAACAAGAAACTTAGAACATGGTTAAAATGGCACATTTTTGTAAAGAAATAGGGATTTTGCAATTATGGGGTGGAGCCTAATTGCAAAATTGAGATTTCCTTAAACAAATTTTTCATTTTAAACATGTTTTAAGTTTCAAAACAAAAAGACAAAAAGTACGCCCGCCCACCCGCCCTATCTAATTTATGTGATTGAAGAATACTATGTATATTAAGACAAAAAGGCAAAATATAAAACCCCGCCCACCCTCCCCATCTCCATTGTAATGATTTTTTTTATTCTTAGAAACTTTAAACACGTTTAGAATGGTAAATTTTTGTAATGAAATATGGATTTTGCAATTAGGCTCCGCTCCTAGATCTGCCAATTAATGAAAATTTCATTACTATTTAGATCGAGGCGGATGTGGGTGGGGCCTAAGCTTTGGCTTTATTTTTTTCGTTTTTAATTTCTTGTAGAGAAATAAGGATTTTGTAGTTAAGCTCCGCCTTCTTGGCTCACGACGAATAAAAAAAAATCATCACAATTGAGATAGGGCGGGTGGGTGTTACTACATTTTGCCTTGTTTTTTTTGGTAAGTGTAGACTTATTTCGACAACAAGAAACTTAAAACATGTCGAAAATCGTAACTTTTTGTAGTAATCAACTTAAATCCTCCATTTTTCTTCTACAACCCCTTTAAATACGGCAAAAGTTGAACATCAAAGTTAGTATCAACGGCAACTTGGCAACGGACTTTATAAATGACAAACGTTTGGTGCCAATCAAATCAAAAACAGTTTGAATGCCCGAATTTCGAATAATCTTTGTTCTACTGTAAATTTAAAAAATAAGGTACAAATTGACGTCCTAAATGATATTTTAATGTCACATTAAAGCATTGTTTTCAACGGAAAATAATTTTTTAACAGACTCCCCTAAAGCATTGTTGCAGGTTGGTATTCCTGACTTCGTGTGATAATACTGGACCTTATAACACATGTTTTTCAGTGTACTATTATAAAATCAATGCAAAACTCTTTTATATTACCTATGATTATATTATTCTTTGTTACTTCTCAGCAAGTGTCGTAGTAATGTCGTTATGTTCACGTTTTTGGCCTTTGACATCTCCTAATTCGCAATATCTTTTTTTTCAAAAACTTCATAAATCAATGCGTCATAAAAAATGTGGTCTGGAGTGGGGTATTCTACTTAATTTAATACGAACTTTTTATTTATTATTGTATTATTTGTTGACTACGACGTCATTTTTAAAAGTGGTGTATAAATCTTTACTTATCAAGGATGCATACGTTGATCTTATGCTTCAAAAGTAAGGGAAGTTCTCGATATATAACTATCATGTTCTAAAATACGTTTAATAAAAAGACAGGGTATTAAAACAAATATTAATGCCGTCATAGCTTTGAGACCATCAAGCCAGAAATGTTATTCTTCAAAAAAATAATAGACTTTTCAAGCCTTTTCGTCAAATTTGTTTTTCGTTGGTGTTAATTTAAAAAAAAAAACTAAATAAATTAGTTATGAATTATTTCCGTCATGTTGCATCATGCTGCAAATAATGACCATCCTGTATGTATAGAAAGAGAAAGGAACTAAGTCGTTATACAGATTACAAGAAATCACCAAAGATAAGCTACTGTTCAGTTCCTATAAATGTCCGCATACAATTATAAGGCAAATTCAGTCGTCTTATAGAAATACAACTAACAACAAACAATATTGTTAAATAATAATCTTCTTCACAATGCCACCAAACGTAAGTGTTCTTTCCATTGTTATTTTTATTTTTGTTTTTTTTTTTTTTGAAACTGGTTTATTAAAATTTATGCATTAAAAAAATAGTTGCAAAAGTACACTTATTATTATTTTTAATTGTTTTTACAGCAAAGCACAATCACCAATACTGTGCCTTTGAAGATTGCCATCATAGGTCAAAGCGCTTTCGCAGTAGACGTTTTCCACCGACTTCGCCAGCATGGTCACATAGTAGTCGGCGTCTTCACAGTTCCGGACAAGGGCAAACGTGAAGATCCTCTAGGTATGTCCATTTATTTATGTATGTATAAATATTAATGTCAACGATTCCAGCGAAGGTAGCCCAAGAAAACGATGTCCCGATTTTCAAGATCAAGGCTTGGCGCAAGGCCGGCAAGCCTCTACCCGAAGTCTTAGACATTTACAAAAATGTTAACGCAGACTTGAACGTATTGCCTTACTGCTCACAATTTATTCCCATGGAAGTGATCAACTACCCAAGACTGAAGACCATCTGCTACCATCCATCGCTTCTGCCGAGACACAGAGGGGCAAGCTCCATCAACTGGTAACAAGTTTTTATTTATGTTTTGCGAACTTTATATAAAATTAATTTTAAGGACACTAATTTGTGGTGACAAAACAGCCGGGCTTACGATTTTCTGGGCAGACGATGGTCTTGACACTGGACCCATCCTTCTCCAAGAAAAATGCGAGGTTGCCGAAGACGATACCGTAGACACTTTGTACAAACGCTTCTTGTATCCAGTGGGTGTTACTGCTGTGGCTCGAGCTGTCGACCTTGTAGCTGACGGAACAGCTCCTCATGAACCCCAGACCGAAAAAGGAGCCACTTACGACCCCATGCTGAATAAGCCAGAACTGCAAAAAATCGACTGGAACAAAACAGGCCTCGAGATTCACAATTTCATACGAGGAATGGATTCTGTGCCTGGAGCAACCTGCAGAATCAGAATTCCTGGCGAACCCGACTTTCAAGAAGTTTTCTTGTTTGGGTCCAGTATTTGGAAGGGTAGTAAACCTTCTGGGAACGAAATTGACATTGAAGGTGCCGATCTTGGACTCATTCATGAAGACGGGTTACTAATTTCTGGACATGATGGCGTCCTGGTGAACGTAAAAAGAGTGAAAATTGGTGGACGAATGAAACTAGCTGCTGTTCTGGATCAAGTTACCAAACAAGTAACCGTGGAACTGACACAAGAAGAGAAAACCCAAATTGATTCCATTAGGGATATCTGGGAAAGTATCCTTAATTGTGAAATCGAAGAAGATACCGACTTTTTTGCCAGTGGTGCTGGATCGATGGATGTAGTTCGTCTAGTTGAAGAGGTTAAAGATTTAGTTAAAATAGAAGAACTGGAGAATGAGGATGTTTTCATGTCCCCGGTTTTCTCCGAATTCTCGTTAAACGTTATTTTGAAAAAGAGAGGAGGCACAGGAAAACAAGAGGTCGAGTTTAGAGCTGTTGAAGTGGAAGCTAATGGAATGAAATTGAGATTCCCGTGCCAACTATTTATCAACGGGGAGTTTGTGGATGCTGACGGTGGAAAAACTTTGGGAACTGTGAATCCGAGTAACGAAGAAATTATCTGCCAGGTGCAATGTGCTTCTCCTAAAGATGTAAATAAGGCTGTAGCTGCTGCCAAAAAGGCATTCGAAAGTGGAGAATGGAGCAAAATTAGTGCCAGGGAAAGAGGACAACTTCTTTACAAGTAAGTCTTAGTAAATTTTATCACTAAAACAAATTAAATTATTACTGAATTTAGATTAGCCGATCTAATGCACCAACATCGAGAAGAATTAGCCACCATAGAATCTATAGACTCCGGGGCAGTTTACACCTTAGCCTTGAAGACGCACGTTGGTATGAGTATAGAAACGTGGCGATATTTTGCCGGTTGGACTGACAAAATCCAGGGAACAACTATCCCAGTTTCTCATGCAAGACCCAATAAGAATTTATCGTTTACCAAAAAAGAACCAATTGGGTAGGTCTCTGTTCTATGTTTTGTTTCACTTATTCATCCCTTTTTTCAGTGTTTGTGGTTTAATTACACCCTGGAATTACCCCTTGATGATGTTATCTTGGAAAATGGCTGCGTGTTTAGCTGCTGGTAACACAGTGGTGATCAAACCAGCCCAAGTGTGTCCTCTAACGGCTTTAAAGTTCGCTGAACTGTCCGTAAAAGCTGGAATTCCTCCAGGTGTTATCAATGTACTCCCTGGTACGGGATCAGTCGCCGGACAAGCAATTGCTTCTCACCCTGATGTTAGAAAGTTAGGATTTACGGGTAGCACGGAGATCGGACAAGTAATCATGAAGAGCTGTGCTGAGTCGAATTTAAAGAAGGTGTCTTTAGAGTTAGGAGGAAAGTCTCCATTGGTTATTTTTTCAGACTGTGACTTAGATAAAGCTGTCAGATTGGTAAGTGTAAATCGATAACTATCAAACTAACTAACCCTTCCATGTGACAATTGTTTAGGGGATGCAAAGTGTCTTTTTCAACAAGGGCGAAAACTGCATTGCGGCAGGTCGTCTCTTCGTGGAAGAAAGCATCCACGATGAATTTGTCAGAAGGGTGGTCCAAGAAACCAAGAAAATCAACATTGGTGATCCTCTCAACCGCTCAACGTCACACGGTCCCCAAAACCACTTAGCCCACTTGAAAAAACTGCTAGAATACGTTGAAATAGGTGTCAAGGAAGGTGCTAAACTTGAATATGGTGGCAAGAGGTTAAGCAGGCCTGGGTACTTTTTGCAACCTACCATCTTTACGGGGGTGGAAGATCACATGTTCATTGCTAAAGAAGAATCTTTCGGGCCTGTCATGGTTATCAGCACGTTTAGTAATGGGTGAGTTTTCTAGTAAAATCAAAATCGAATTGGCTTAGTTTGAGCTTGTTTCTGATAAAGGGATATCGATGGAGTACTGAGGAGAGCTAATGCGACTGAGTACGGTTTAGCGTCTGGAGTTTTTACAAAGGATTTGTCGAAGGCGTTGAGGTTTGCAGAAAAAGTTGAAGCTGGTACGGTGTTTGTTAATACTTATAACAAGACCGATGTTGCTGCTCCATTCGGTGGATTTAAACAATCTGGATTTGGAAAGGATTTAGGACAAGAAGCTCTCAGTGAATACTTGAAAACAAAATGTGTTACAATAGAGTATTAGTGAGAACTGATTACATTATACATTATTACTTTTAAGGTTTAAATTATTACAAACAATTATGTAAGTCTGTATAAAGAAATAAAAAGTGTGATTGTTATAATCTGTATTTATCATTTATAACAAAAATTTTAGTTCCTTTCTGTACTTTCTTCACATTCGGTAGTAAGGTTTTTCACAAAATCTGCAATTCAGAGAGTAGTTAGGAAACTAAAAGAAAACCTACGTTTTGCCTCACCATTTATAAAGTTCAGTTCACTAACGTTTCTTTCCTTTGCCTCTTCCACAGTTTTTTGAAAATTATTCATTTCACCGCTGAAGTAATAAGCTTTGGCCAATAATAATCTTGCTCTTAGAGAATTTTCATTAAGTTGCAATGCAGTTTCACAGTCCTTGATTGCTTTGTCGTAGTGCTTCAAGTTAATATATGTAAGAGCCCTGTTTGAATATAATATGCAACTGTCGCGTATTTGTTCAATTGCCTATAATTAATTTAAACTAGCGATATTTATACATAATTTCCGTTTATACCTTATCGTATAAAGATAAAGCCTTTTCATATTCACCTCTCCTGAACGCCAAAGTTGCTTGTTTTTTAAAAGTTTCCATTTTTTCTCTTCTCCTTAACTTGTTTTTGTATCTTCTATCTGCATCCTTAGACACTTCTTCCATGAATGTTTCTATACGTTTTATCACAACGTTAAATTTTCTCAAATTACGTTCGTGCTTACCCATTTACCTGTCGACTGAGTCTCTGGATTATCTTCACGTAGAAGAGCTTTTCTATTAATGACAGTTCTGTCATTTTTTATTTTGATATCGATAGTGTCCTCGTTGAGAATGACAGATTTCTCTTCATTGGATTCACCTAGGTAGTGTTTAGCTTCTAGTTCTCCAACTTCTTGCACATTTTTTTCATTTGAAGCTAGTTTCTGGATTATACTGGAAACCTGATTTACTTTGTACATAAAATTGTTGAATTCTTCGCTGAAGGGTTCAGAGTCGTCAGTCGACATTTTGAGAATGACGTGATATGATATTGACAAAACAAATATCTGTTGTTATGGTAGAAACAAAATGGTTCCCAATGAGGGCACGAAAAAATCAATTTTGCAACAATAATTATGGTTGTCCTTGGTAACAAGATGTCTGTTTGTGTTTCTTCTTCGATGAAAAGTATTCAAATAAAGCCATTTTCAGAGAGTCGAATTTCATGCATCCTTGGTGGTGCATATTTCATAGAATACAAAAATGTCCAGTTGTTATTATTATACAAAATAACTCAAAAATGTTTAGGTTTCAACGTTTATTTTTACTATTTTTTTCTGGTGTCCATGACATAACAATAGGCTTGCCAAATGTAGGAAGTGGCAATATTAAAATAATTCTTAAATCAAATAAAAAAATACGCTCGGGAAGTAAAAATCGGATTGTTTTGAGTTAATTGGAACCAGTAGGGCGAAAAATATGAGAGTAATAAACAACACGAAATGTTATATTCTCGGAATTAATACGGCCTCGGAAAAATGCCTTGGGCAATTGAACGTTTCTCGAATAATAATATGTTCTTACATTTCTTGTTCCTTAAATAATGATTTTGTTATATAACGGGTGGGCTTAAAGTAATGAGAATAAATATATATGTACTATCATCGTAAGATGGTATAAAAATAAACAATGCCCACTAATTGTTCGTCTGTTTAAGGAATACAGTTCTGATAGTAATTTTGGTCCCAATTGCTAGCGCCTGATTGCTTTCTGATAAAGGTCTTAACACTACCTTTCCGATTATTTAACAGTAGATGATTTAGAGAACACTAGATGATAATGCTATAACCTGAGTAAATGTAAGGATATCGTTTATAAAGATTAAAAATAATCATGGACTTCGATTTGTCCCCTATGCTATTCCAAATGGAGTTCAGTAGTGGTTACAGGTTTCAGTATTTTACAAGTATGTAGCTTTCACTTGAAAAATATGACTTAATCAATGTAATTAAAGAGTCCGTGAAACCATAATTCTTCAATTTATTTACTGTATCAAGTGCTTTTCGGCTGCAGACGGAGGATTCTTTTGGAAACTCACTTTCCTGGATCAAAATTTTCGCAAAAAAGCCTAGCAGTTAACATGTTTACCTCTATAAAAGAGTCAAATTGGCGGTTAAAAGCTTCAAACCATTCAAATCGCCAAACACAGATGCTATTTTTCCAGCATTGCTTCAAAAGGACCTTATAACCCACCACAGATCCCGTGAAATCTGATCTATAGTCTAAAATCAATCAATCAAATACTTCTAAAACATAAAAAGAATCTCTACCTTTGGCTTTTGTAATGTCTTCATTATTATTATTATGTTATGTATATATTATACATATAACAGACTTATTGTTATGAAATTTTAAATATTTATAACCTGTCCAAAACTATCTCTACCCAGTTGTTTGTAAATGGCGCACTAATTCTATGACACGTTGTTAAGGACTATTCTCATTGATCAGAGAAAAAATAATTTTAAAAAATCCTTGGATTTAAATGTAGAAGAAATAGATCTTCAAAGTTAATTTTTCTTTTTGATATTCCCCCATATTTTAATTCACAACTTAGTTTTGGGTACATGAAATCGATTGGACTTTCATATCCTTATTCAAAATCACTATAGAGGTATCTGATCTTTATTAAAACTTGTTTAGAATGAATCTGGCAGCAGTGGTCAACTTTTCAAAATTTTTGATCCACCTAAATCGATATTTTGAAATTGAAAGTCAAATTGACGTAAGAAATTTCTTAATGATTTTTTTCTACCGCGTACGTTTTTTGGTTTTCTAATAGAGCTATTAAAGCATCCAAATGACGTCAAAGCGGTTCGTTAATAGCGGAAAGGGGTTCTCTAATAGATCTGGTGTAATTTATAGTCTTTGCCATTTCTATTGAAACACCACTTGTTGATCGTAAATTTGGCAACGTTCATATTCAGACAATTTTCTAACTAAAAGCCGTTGTCAATCAACCGAAAGCTGTTACCAATTGCTAAATTTTAAACAAAATCAACAGGTGGTGTTTCAATAGAGATGGCAAAAGCAATAGATGGGTAAGATTGGTAGCTATGACGAAAAATGTCAGTTGAATGTCAGTGGCAAATGTCAAATTAAAATTTCCCCTATTTCGGGAGGCGTAAGGAGTTCACTAACTTCTTCACAAGGCATTTTAACCAATTTTAACTTACAAAAACTCGAATTGATTCGAATTACAGTCGTTGTTGTGAAAATTCGAACTTCAAATATTTCAGACCAACCCATCACCAACCACGACAAAATTCCCCAGATTAAAAAAACTCAAATTTCAATTAAATTTTGCGAAAAAACGTGTGCGGCAGAAAAAATAATATAAATAACTCGTTCATAAGGCCATTGTGCTTATTATTTGCCTTATGAATCTCGTTCTTTCATATACTATTTTCGAACTTAGATTTGTGAATTTAATAACTTACAGTTTTTTAAAATCAGCTTATCATCATCCTGTTTTTAAAGTTTAGTTGAAATTTTTCATCACGTATCTGAAAAAACAGTATCGCATATTTATGGAAATTTCGGAACGCCGTTTGTACCATTGTTTTCAACTTTTAATTAATATGGTTAATATATCTGTATCTGTCACAATAATTATGACATTTGCAGACGATTAGAAGTTGTCATTTGAACGCACAATTCTTTAAATTTCGAATTTTGGTTGGCTTTGGAACAAAAATTTATGTTTATGCATGTTGTAGTACCGTAGAATTCTTTTATTTTTGAAAAGTGTTGTAAAACTGCACCAATTACGGCATCTGGTATATTTCTGTTTTTGTCTTAATCCGACACACTAATTACACAGGGAAAGAATATCCGCGCTTGTTAACTGGCATTTTAGGGGCGGAAACGTACACTGCGTAAATACAGTGTGTTGGAGAAAGACAGAAACAGAAACATACCATTTTACAACACCTTCCAACATTAAAAAATTAAATAATAAAAACAAAAATGCTTTTGACTCCTACTATCATGTTTTCCGATACTTCCAATGCCATTAAATTTCTGTTCTTGAGATACATAGAGAAAGAGCTTATTCTAACACAATAATTAACAAAAATTGGTAGGAGGTTGTTTCGACAGAACTTCCCTTGCACCTAATGAAACATATCCGGTATTTACGAAAAAACTATAAAATTTGATGTAGCGAATTTTATTTTTTTTATGAGAACCCATATAAGTTGAAATAAAGATATGTAAAGTAACCTCATTTGACTTATAAGGGTGCTTTGGCTTAAGCTGCTTAAGTCATAAAAGTTTTAACAGGTGTATGTCAAATGAGGTTTGTGTATATAATCTTGAAGTAAATGTAAAGAAGCGTGCTACGGGTATATTTCAAATGAGTTTGTTACTTTAGGTACATCATTTTGCGATGACGTCATCAATAATAAAAGCATTGTATTCCCAAAATTTTCTGGGAAAATGGAGTGAGCCGTTTCTGATTTAATCCGTAAAATAAATTGAGTCAGTCATTATTTTTTTGACCCATCTGTATAAGCAAATCTAATTAAATATAAATGCAATCATAAATCGCAAGTATAGAATCATCATATTTGGACCTTTTAAACCTGGATATATTCGGCAAAATTTTGAGCTGACGTCATCAATTTTTTGGAAGAGATAAGCAAATATATTTTGATTAAAAATTTATCATGCTTATCATAACTTTAAAACATTCGCAAGATTTCAAAGCATTCGGTTTTTCAGATTTAAATTTAAATTGCAAAATGTTTTATATTTTTAATTTTTTCTAAAAATGATAGGGGAGTATTCATTTTATTCATAATACACATATAAAATTTGCCAACAATCGGTTTAATAGTTTTATTATTTTTATTATCACTTCCGGTAGAACCGGAAATGACGTCAACTTTATTTTTTCTTTATGGAACACTAGGTATATTTTTTCAAAAATGGAAAAATTGATTTTTTCTAAAAAATAAAAGCAACCAATATTTTAAAATCAGTACATACTTAAAAAATTCATATTATTGATGACAATCTAGTAGCTTGAAAAATTGACACTCACGTCATTTATTCACATAAGTGATCTTATAAAATGATACAAATTTGCTCAAAGAACTATATGTTTATCTTTAAAAATAGAAAAATTACAGGGGTCGTATAAAATAAAGAAACAATATACCACATTGGAAATACGTACAATGAGGAAAACAACAATTTTTATTGATGAAATACATTAATCAACTTCTAGCTTCTTGAAATTGCCACAAACACCCAAAATATCATCCGCTTTATTTTTTTTAGGTATGAGGTTTTCATTCACATCGACTTCGTCTAAGGAGTCAAAAACGTGCTGGTACTCGTTGTATTTTGCTTCTAGTGCTTCTACAAATTACGAATTTTATTTTCGAACAAGAAAGTGTAAAGAAATTACCATGCAACACATCTAAAGACAACCCAGTTCCTCCGAATTCTTCTGGCAAAAGATCCAGCGGAAATATCTCTTTTAGTGAATCCATGTTTGGGCAGATGTGAATCTAAAATAATTACATAGTTCAATACTAAAATAGAATATAAAAACTAAGCAAAACATATATGAGTAAATGATATAAGTAAATATTAGAATAAATCCGGTCTAAAATAGTTTCGTCCACGGTATGCTAAGAATTGATTTCATCACTTCTTCAAGTGGATTAGTGATTGGGAAAAATAGAAAGGTAGTTTATGGTGTTATATCTAAGAACGAATGAAAGACGGTTTTGGTAACTAGTACGCAGTTCTTGCAGCCATCAAAAAGAAAAAACCACGGTCTACTAACGTCTAAGAAGGTCGTAAATATAGGTATATAATATAACTAGGTTAATATTTATCGTACCCTTTCAAACACTTTTGGATTCAGTATTCTTTTCGCCATGGCTAAAAGTATTTCACAAACAGGTGGCATGTTGATCACATATACTCCCTTTACACGCATGGAAAAAATTTTCTGTAAAATATCAGGTCACTCTTTGATGTTAGGCTCATAAAATTTCCTCACCTCGTAAATGAGAGCACCTTTGTAAAACATTGTTGGTGTTACCTTCATAATTGTTGTGATCGCAAAGCCCTTCATGTCAGCGATAAAAATGTCTCCAACGAGCACATCCTCCCTTAGTCTTATTTCCGCAATTGAGAAACTTTTTCTTAAAAAGTCAATAGGCTCATAGTCACTCATTAAACTTTCATTTTTGATTTTGATATAAAATATTCTATGCATTTCCTTCGTTAACTTAGGATACATTACCACATACCTAAAAAGGCGATTATCAAATAATTGTTTTTTCTGCACGTGTACAATAAACATTACGAAATTTCGTTTAGTTTCGCTTTGTATGGAAGTTTAGGATTAAATTGGTTAATATCGTCCATTTTTGATCTAATTAGGTAGTAATTTTCGATTTTTTGTTTAGCCACTTCGACACTGCATTTATTTAAAACCAGAAAATTCCTCAGGCAGTGCGAATCTGGTGAAAAAATATAATTCTGTAGGTCACAAATATGAAATATGTGTTAATAACTCACCCAGCAGCTTTGGAAGATGGGGCTGTGCATTTAACCATTCTTGTAGTGAAGCAACATCCTCGTCGAAGGATTTAATACTTCTGTTAAACAAGCTTGCTGCATTTTTCCAAATCTGGTCATCCACAGCCATCAAATCAATATTTCCAGTCATCGTGGTGGTTAACAGGAAACTGTTCACTTCTTAAGATGTGAACTTCAGGTGAGAGGAAGACCATCAAGTTCAAAACATGCAGTTACGTATGAAATGCGTCAGTCTACCAGACTTTTGCGTCAGTGCATGCATGCAAGTTTAATATTTATTGAGGTTGACAGACGTTAGTAGAATTACTTTAGATTTAATTCTGAATATAGCGAAAGCTCGGCCTTGGAGAATTTAAACACACTAAAAAAAAAGTGGTCTAAAGTTGATTAAACAGAACTTCTCTCGCCCTTTGGTGAATTTTGTTTCTTTTATGATAACCCCTATAAGGTAAAATAAATATATGTAGTGTTGGAGTACAGGCAAGGAAGCATACTGTGCGGAGGTTTTCCATTATAAAATTTTGTGATGGTGTCATCGACATTTTAGCAAGAACACGTATGTCAATTTGAATAGGTGCAATGTAATACTAATAATATAACAGTACTGTATTCCAAAATTTTCTGGGAAATGGGGTGAGCTGTTGTTGATTTGATCAATAAAATCATCCTGTGTGAGTACACAACAATCCCCGTTCTCATATTTGAATAATGTCGGGCAACAATGAACTTGTTTAGAACTTGTCACATTAACCTCATGGCCTCCGATATCTCCCGATCTTTTGCCTGTTGAACATGTGTGGGATATGATGGGTGTAAGAATATCCCAGTTAACTTCTCCTCCCCAAACTTTAGCTTCTCTATTAAGATGCTATTACAGACAGCTTTGGATGCAATACCTAAAGCTGATTAGACAATTTAATTTTATCAGTGCCAAGGTGACTAACTGAGTGTTTAAGGAACATGGATAGTGCGACTCATACATTATTAACATTTTATCAGTTCTTTGTGTTTTTCTTTGGTTGAATATTTATTAAAGATTTTAGTCTCCAATCTAGTAGGATCTAGTACGATCTTTATCACGTGCCAATTAAAATATCCTATTTTCTTAGAAACCGATTCAATAACAATAGATTATGCGGTTGACGACATGATATAATCGATTTTGTGTTTCGTTAGGTCTATTTTGTGCAAGAATCAAGTAATTAGCTTGTTAGTATCTGTAGTTACGGGGAGTGCGAGACGTAAGAAGTAAATAATAATCAAAATGAATCGTTTTGGTGCAAATTCGATGAAGCGATAGAAAATTTAAAATCCGTAAGTACTATGAAAACTGAGACATATCTTTGGAAACAATTTGAAAATGTTTGCAAACAGCGAAAGTACGAACTGCGAGCTGAGACCCCTAATGAGAATTTAATATGAAACGAAAGGACTGCTTTGATTACAAAAAAGGTGTTGTGAAAACTATATGGAATGTAAGTGCTAAATTTATTCAAGAAAAATACTTTAAAGAGCACGGTCGGAAAATGGACCCATTCAAAGATTTAGTATTTGAGGGCGCTCGTAAAGCCCACAAAACTAATAATAAGAGAAAACAACTTCAGTCGTTAGCAGAAAAAGAAAAATAAGTTCTGCAGCTTTGACAAGTGTCGAAATTCAAAAGTTTTCTCAAAGTTTGGACGAAAACACACCAGAAGATAAATAATTATGGGATACCAACGGGTCGCTTAGAGTATTGTTACGAAATAAACCCATAACCTCCCCTGTGACAAGTCTGGAGCCGGTTACCGGAAGTCTCGAAGCGACGTCCAGGGAAGTCTCGAAGAGGAGTCGCGATGGATGTTCGTGAAAGATCTCGAACGGAGAAGTATGGGTTTAAATAGAAGCGACCGTCGGGAATGGATTATTCAGCCAGTGGAGACAGTCAAGAACGTCCAGTGAAATTCGCCGGAATAATTTCTGTACATTTTCCTTGCAATAGTAGTGTAATTCGAGTTAAAGAAATACATCGTTGAGTTTTACCTACGCCCGATTTCAATCACCCGTACAACGTAACAGTATAATACTATTTGTGGATAAACAACCCGAGGAGGTGAGAAAAATTTGGATGAAAGAAAGTGGCTGACACCAAATAAAAAAATTAAAGATTTACGTCCGGTGCGTTATTTGAGAGAATCGGGATGGATACTAAAAAAAATAAAATAAATCATTATGTAAGGTCAACTGCGATTTCTCATCTTGCCAAGGCAGGTGTTAATGAGTAGGAAATTATAAAAATCACAGTCCATATAAGTTCAACGAATTCACTGAAGGATTATCAACAACTGGATGTGAACACCAATCAACATGATTAACGATTTAAAAGAAAAAGGGGATGTTAGTACAACAGAACAGACCAACGTTGCAAAGTGCACTACTCACGGACAAAATGTGTTCAGTAATTGTGTTTTCCTTTTCCATTTTTAAAACTTTAACTCTTAGTTCTCTTGTCCACTCCAAAGCTAAGTTTAATTTCTTTAGAGGTCGTATCGAGTAGACGTGTTTTAAATATCTCTGTGATTCTAATACAATTTTACCAGTTATAAGTGAGTAATAAGTACCAATTGTGTCAGATAATGCCTGCTGCTTGCACAAAATGTAAGGTGTCAATTACCCCTACTGTTCCGGGATTGAAATGTTTAGTTTGTAACACATTTTCTCACATCAAGTGTACTGAAATAGCAAAAGCTCAGTATGACGTAATAAAATCTACTGAAGGTATAGAATGGAAATGTTCTGATTGTCGTAAAATCAACTTATCAAAGGATCCTAATGGCACTTGTAATTGTTGTGAATTAATACCACAGTTAAAAGAAATAATCAGTGATATGGAGAAATCAGTGGAATCGCTGAAGGGTCAATTATCTGAAGCAAAAAAACTTACTGATGCGAATTTTGAGGAGATAATACACGAGGTGACTGATCGTCAAAATCGTAAAGCCAATGTAATAATTTATGGATTAACCGAACAATCTGCCCGTTTAGCTGCCTCTGAGAAAACTGCTAAAGATAAGAGTTGCATAACTGAATTTTTAACATCATATGGACTTGATGATTGCATAATATCAATGGATTTTAAGTGCAACCGCCTAGGTAGACTCGATGTTTCGCGTCCACATCCTCGGCCTTTAAAGCTTCGTTTCGATAACGCTCAACATGCACAAATACTTTTCCATAAGTTGAAATCTAATCGTACCCAAATTCAAAGTAATGAGCAATTCAGGAATATAAAAGTTTCAATGGATAGGACACCAAGACAGATTGCCTACTTTCGTCGAATCAAACAAGAATTAAATCAGAGAATTGCAAATGGAGAGGCTAATCTTCGTATTAAGTTTTTCAATGGTATTCCCAGTATTACAAAGGTCAATAATTTAAACTAATGTCTCCCTACGTTCTAATTGTCTCAATAGATTATGAAAATGTGCGCAGTATTCGGAATAAAGTAAATGATTTTTTTAATGGCACTAGTGACATGGGCTTTGACATCATTTGTATTTCTGAAACATGGCTAAATGATTCTATCTCTAATTCAGAAATAATATTCCCTGACTTACATAGTGTGTATAGATGTGATCGTAATTATAATCAGTTAAATACTTCAAGAGGTGGGGGTGTTCTTTTGGTATTAAAATGCTCTATCACTGTAGAAAATATTGATTTAACTAATCTACTTAATGAATTGATCAATGTTGAGATTGTAGGGTGTAAATGATATCTAAACAGACTACCATTCTATATATTTGTTGTCTATTTTCCAAGAACACCTTCTCATAATGATTTACTTATACTCTGTAATTATTTTGAAGATAACTTTAGTGGTGATGATAGTTTGTTTATAATAGGAGACTTTAATATTCCACAATACACTACTGATACAAATAATACTCTTGTTCTTACACTTAACAACTGTAGTAAGTTTTTGAATCTATCTCAGTATAACATCATCAGAAACTCTAGTGATAGATTGCTGGATCTTGTTTTCTCAAATACTAATTGTAAGGTCATGCGTGATTTAGTTCCTATCGTTGCAGAAGACTCTTACCATCCAGCTCTCTCAGTTTTAATTGATTTGACAAGTGATAACTCTTTTCCAAATAATAATGTAAGGCAATCTAAGTCTTTCAATTTTCGTAAAGCGAATTTTCCTTTGCTTTATCAGGAACTTTGTAATGTGGATTGGTCTTTTTTAAGTAATTTCAAGGACATTGATACCATAGTAGAACATTTTTACAGCTATTGATATAAAATATTAAGCAAACATGTGCCAACATATAGAGCTATTTCCAAAAAAACTAGATTCCCACCATGGTTATCGTATTATCGTAAGAAATATAAAAAATATAAAAATTCATTTTATTACACAAAGTTCAAATTTTACCGTAAACTACTAAAAAAACAAATAGCTGCTTCACATAAAAAATATCTCGCGGATATAGAAACTGATCTTAGGAACAACCCCAAAAAATTGTGGTCATATGTACAATCCAAAAAAGGTCTGACCAGAATTCCTGGTCGAATGATCTGTAACGATAATTCCCTTAATACTCCTTCTGATATTGTTGATACATTTGCCTCTTATTTTCAGTCTTCTTATACTCAATCTTCTGACAATAACTCCAATATAGATGATACTTACAATTTAAACACACCAACGTTCTATATTAAAGAAATTACTGAGCATGATATACTTACTGCCATAAATTATCTCAATAATTCATTTACGGCCGGTCCAGATGAATTAGCTAGTTTCTTCGTACGTGACTGCAAATATGTATTTATTCAGCCTTTATTAGCAATATTTAATAGCGCCCTCAAGAATGATGTCTTTCCATCGAATTGGAAGTTGTCTAAAGTTATACCTGTTTTTAAATCTGGAGACAAGGCTGATGTTTCAAAATATCATCCGATCTGTATCTTATGTAATTTCTCCAAAGTTCTTGAAATTATTTTGTACTCTTACATCTATCCTCATGTGAGAAACTTTATTTCACCACAACAACATAGTTTTATTGATAAACGCTCAACTGTCACAAACCTGGCATGTATATCTCAATTTATTGCTGAAGAGATTGATAACCAATCACAAGTGGATGTAATATATACAGACTTTTCAAAAGCTTTTGACCGCATTGATCATAAAATTTTAACATCTAAGATTGAAGCATTTGGTATT